TGTGGACCATTTTGAAACCACCTGGGCATCTCTCGCAAAACACCTGGGGACCTCTCACAGAACACCTACATACCTCTCACGGAACAATTGAGGACCTCTTACAGAAAGCCTGGGGACCTCTTAGGGAAAACCTAGGGACCTATCACGGAACCCCTGGGGATCTCATACAGAACACCTAGGAACCTATCATGAAAGCCTTGGGGTCCTCTTGTGGAACTTGGATGGACCTCTCTCCGAACCCCTGGGGCCCCCTCTCACAGAAGATCTAGGGACCTTTCTCAGAACCCCAGTTGAGAAACCGTGCCCTAGACTGTCTTCCCTCTACATCTCTGCAAAACTGTCCTCAGCCACGCCATGAGTCTCATCCAAGAACCTAACTTGGCATTCCCCAGGCAGGAAGCAGGACACCAATTCAGGAGCGCGCCCCATAATGTCAGCTAAGAGACAAAATGGTAAGGACTCCATCAGCCTATTACCAATTGGGAGCGGCTGTTGACTACGTCCCAATAAACAAACGTTTCCCAGCACACGCCCGTTGTCAGCCTGCAAAAGAAACCTTATAAGATCCACATGTAATGCGTTGCTAGAGGTCTCTGTGTGCATGCATAGGAGCGGAAGCAGCAAGTAGAAACGATTGCATCACCCTGGACCTTATCCTGGCTTCTATACAGCTTATTTAAAGAGACAACGTAGAGAGATGAGGTAATCTGTACACGGCAGTAATCCATCGCCAACAATTAGATTTAACCTCTCTGAAAGATGATTCTGATTGGCTGCTGTCAGTTTCTTGCAGCAGGTTGGGGGACGTGCGGTAACACGCCGCAGGAACAGTGCTCAGACTGAAATTTGATTGGCTGCTGGGGCACTGTCCTATATTGAAGGAACCTTCACCTTCCCTTTGCTCATCCGTTGCTCTGCTCAGCCACTGGGAGCAAATAAAAATGCGCTTTATCACCAGTATGTGACCTAAGGCCCCTCTTTGTCATGTGACTGGGCTGGTGCTTGCCCATTGGCCGCTCAGGCACCCAGCGCTGCATGCCTGCCAGATGGAAACAGGCACAAACTTTATA